AATGTTCGAGATGGTCATCATCAGTTTAGGTAAATTAGAGTCCTTGAAACAGTCCGATTCCTTATAAGTCAAGACTCCATTGAGCATATGTTGTACATATATTTATACACCTTGGAGATGAAGAAGCAAGAATTCCAAGAAATACATATACATATCTATCTGGAGATTTCAGCCTATTCCAGCGGTCTAACAGCCCTGGTCAACAAAATAAACAGTCTGACTACAGGATGTGGTTTATTCAATAGAGATTCCTTTGGAATCATTGATCGGGTGTAGTCCGGTAATGATTCGGCCTGTTTCGTTTACGATGAAATTTGAAGGCTTTCAAATTCTTTATCTTGGAAGATAGCATGTGGCCATCGATCGATACACAAGATATGACTCTGGCTGTGTGAAAGCATGAGAATCAAGCCAATACTTATGATCAAAACCACTGGGAATAACCAGCATATATATTGGTTCATTGCTGAAGTCGACTTGAGCATGATTTGATCACGACAAACATACTGCCAAGGAAAGGTGACGTGGTTTTGATCATCAGGCCTGGTGCCTTTCATCAATATGTGATGGCGTCCAACGTGTCTTGATGAGGGACAATAATCAATGATTTCGTAAGAGTATAGAAAATTTCCATACTTCACAAGGGTATAGAAATACTATGAATGGGTATAGAAAAATAATTTGTGTATGGGTATACAAAACAATTGAGTATGGGTATAGAAAAGTGCGCTGCACGTAGTTTTCTATGCGCGCACTCCTTTTCTATACCCCCGGGAAAAGATGACATTTGACGTAGTGAGATTGTATTGCAAATATTTTAAATAACACAATGTATAGAACACTTAGATTTCTAAACAACTCGGATGTACGCGTGAAAAGTCTTCACGTGTGTGGGGGGAGGGTCCCTTGAAGACATCAGTACCAAGATAGGCTCTCAAGGGGGTTACTGAGATTACGGAATCCAAACGAGAACGGAGTGAATGGTGACCGTGACAGTACCGCCCGAAGCAAAAGATTGCTTTCTGAGCAATTGCCTGAATCTGGGGAGACAAGAATAAGGGATCCGACATCAGAGTACGTTGAGTATGACGGGGACATAAGCACAAGGGGGGGTTAGCGTGTAGCCCAGACCTCAGTGGTTTTCGCAAAGCCTGAGCCTTGGGTGAACCCCCACACTGTGCAAAAAACCCAGTGAGCAACGTACCTAAGTACTGGAACCTCCGATCTCCTGGCGGTTGTTAATCAAAGAAACGATATTCGCAGTTCGGCGTAACTCGTCATCATTTAATTCTCAAATATACATCAAGTAGCAATTGGACGTCCAACGTCCCAGAGTTTGGATATTGGTATGTGGTATTCCAAGAGAATTGCGGAACAATGCACCGCCTACGCGAAAGGAATGGCCTGAAAGGGTCGTCCAACCCTCAGCGTCCCAAATCTGTTTACACCTTCGAACCACCAAGCTTCGAGTAAGATTAACACGAGCCAAGCCATCCCAGTAACCAAAGAGCGAGTCTGAAGGTTTGAGGCAAGTCAGTTGACGACGTGCCACCGCCTTGACTGGACACAACATGTTAGGTTGAGCATTTAAGAGGATTTGTTGAGCATGTCCAGCTTTAGCGGTTTTAGCTCCGCGCACCATTAAGGTCACACAACCGTTTGATGTCGGTGAATGCACGGCGTCGGTATACCATATCGAGTTTATCCAGGCCGTCTGGCCTGATTGTCTATTGTAGGTGAGTTCACCCAGTCGAGCCAGGCCCCAGAAGGCGCAGATTGCGCAATCGAGTATCGCCTTATCAGCCTCGGAGCCGTTAAGTAGTTTTGCATGCAAAGCAACTATATGTTCAAGTAAGACTGCCGGCTTCGGAGGTTTCTGTGGCATCAAGGCGTTGGCACGACCACACGCTCGTAGGAGTACTTTTACCCGCGCCGACGTGACGTGGGGATAAGGCTTGTCGTGCAGAAGATGCCATGCTTGAAGACCGGATAGGTAGTTCTTTAACGTTCCGGAGCTAATGTTGTGATCTGTGTGCAGGCCTTTGTTTCTTCCTGCCCACCAACAGAACTTGTATATGTCTGATGGAGCGGCGGGCAGGCAAGACGGATTGGTGTGACTATGTTCCCAAAACGCCAGGAACTTCTTCACTGCCCCATTATAGCTGCGGAGGGTGCTATCTCACCAACCCCGCAATAGGTGTACCTGCAATTGGGTAGGTTCGGACTGGGAACCTCCCGAGATAAAGGCTGATATTTGTCGTAAAGGTAGAGTGGATGACATGATGCGAAGGAGATTGGACATTTCGAGACGGAAATGGCAAGTGAAAACATCCTTAATGACACATTCAAGTCGGATTGTATAAGAGATTGCGACCAACCTCTATCTCGTCAGGCACGAGGTCTCAGAAAAAAACACATTTCAACACTCAACCGATGCTAATACAACCCGCAGGGGAATGCATTACTAAGAAGACAAGAACAACATAATGAAAGAAGAATCATACAAGAACAGAGGCAGTGGCGACAGGAAATAAGACGTCCACGAGGTCATCAGGCATATTGATCACTACCATCTCGTTCATATCGTATTCCACGATTGAATCGTCCTCCAAATGTATAGTTCTGTCACCCCTAGACAGCTTATCTGCTAGGTTATCTTCCGAAACGACCCTTCTTGGATCTAGGTCTATTTGCGATGAAATTAAAATACCTTGAATGATCTTCCATTCATTATTAACTTCCCTATCTCTAGACTTTCGTTTTTATACCGCGGCTTGGCTCGTTGTATTATATGTCCAGACTATCAAGTTTTGACCTCTACCATAATTCAATTCTATAGCCATTAATAGACCTAAACGTATAGCGACAGTCTCTAGCCAAGCGATAGTGCGGGTGTGTTTACCTGAAGATCTCCAGTTCTTATCTGCTTCAAACTGCATCCACTTCTTTCCAATGAGAACTCCTACGCCCCAATCAGATGCATCGCCTACCCAGAATATCTCTATTGGTTCTGGTATTGGTATGAGCCTCAAGTTTTTGAATGATTTAAGCGTTATGAGCCAATACGACACGTCTTCATACACATCTTCCGGTAAATGTTGCTTTGCTTGATGGTGTACCCATCTTGCCTTCCACCCGTACAAACTGCATAAGTAGCACTTTAATTGAGGTAGCAAGTAAGAAACATGACTTAGACGTCCTACGAAAACGTCTACTTGGTTATAATTCCATGTGGCTGCAGGGTGTATGAATTCTTCTATTTGTCGTATTCTCAAGGCTAATTTTTCTTCGGTTAGTCTTACTGTTTTACTAAAACCATTCCACACAAATCCGATGAATTTTTGTTTGTATTGAAAGTTCGAACACTTCTTCTCATTAGTTAAAACTCCCAATTGTTGAGATCTTTTAACTATATTTGTCATGTCTGTAGTAGAACCGATTCTCTTTATAAAAAGATTATCGTCTACCCATCTAAAAACGGTGATCAGGTCAAACTCTGCAATCATGATCTTCTTCCATGCGTCTGCTGGCCTTCCAAACGAGCCACAGCCTGCAACGCCGCCGAAGGTTATCCTAGTATCTCAATACAGCTCTCCTGTTGTACTTAGAACCATCAAATATTGCCATTGTTCCATCAAAGTTGGGATTTGCCTATAAGCTTTTTCCCAATCGAAAAGTGCCAATAAGAGAGTTTCCTTCTATATTCTGAAAAATTTTGCGACTTTATTGAAGTCGTCCCACGTTGTTTTGTAATCGTCGGCATTTACAAAAGAATTGACTGAACAAATGTCTGGCCTATTCTTTGGATACGATAGATCATTTATTGGTCTAGTTGATCCGTCGCCATTCACGACAGCTCCCAGTGGATTTGTCCTGAAAAACGAGAATACTTTCTTCACTTCTTCGTGTGTGTATGGTCCGAACATTCTTCTGTTGGCTACTTCTTTTTTCGTGTTTGCGACGATCTTCTCTGCTGCGAGAATTGATGAAGAATGATTCTCTGGCGTCCAGAAAGGTAAATCTAACACCCGATGATGAGGAATGCCTTGGTCTAATCCTTTATCGAAACCAGTTAACACATCTTCAAATTCATTCAACAGATTTGCGTTTATCAACGCCTTACGCCATTCCTCTATATTCATTTCGCACGTCACCTTCCTAGGCCAACCTTTTGGTAAGACTTTCTCGTTCAAACTCATTTTTCTTGTCAAAGAATGTGAAGCGTCCTTTACAGGATTTGTTTCAATTGCCTCACTACAGAATAGACTAACAAATTTACAATTTGACAAAACAAATACAACATAATTGTCAACATCTTTGTAAATCATATATCTACTATGTTTAGAGGGAGTCATGATTGCTTATTTCAAGAACAATGGATTGGGGAGATAGATGAAGAATAAGAATATAAAAATGTAATCGAGGTAAAACCAAAGAAGGATAAGGAGAAACTGATATGAAAGGAAGAGTATAACGAGTAACCTACTGTTTACTAGTGCTAGCTAACGGTTGTTTGGTTCCTTTCTCTTTCCTCACATAGTTGGGATCAAAGTTGTTTCCAGTGTAACCTTTCCTCTTTTTGTTTTCGATCTGAATCTTTTGATTATTCATCATATTTGGTTGTTTGAGATGATTGTTGTTTTCATTATTCATGTTATAGTTTGAATTCGAATTTCTATGGTTTGCATGAATTGATGAATTGTTGCTATTTCTGTAGCTACTATTGTTGCTATAATTACTGTTGTACGATGAATTTCTAGAAATATTTTGGCGATTTTTCTGTGTTCCAGTGTTATGATCCCACTCAAACCTTTCTCCGCCTTCGGCATAAGGATTGTCCGTGAAACTAAGTTCATCACATTTTCTAGCTTTTGCAAAACAGATTTCTTTTACTTTAACTCGTTCTTTTGAGATATCAATAGGGCCAGTTGAACCATCTTCATAAGTGACTTTCTTGGTGAATAATAAAGTTCTCATTTTCAAATTGTATCTGAATGCTACCATCCAACATTCAGTCTGCCTAATATTTTCAACATTCTCCTTATGTGCTTCCAACCAATTAGCTAAAGTTTCAAATTTGAATTTATTTCGAATCGCTTTTATGAAATTCCTATAGTTGATCGACCAAGCCATATAAGATTGTGAGAATTCATGAGGATAAGGGTGTCCAGAATACAGATTTTGAGCTTTCGTCGAATCATTGCTCTTGACTTTCTTTTCAGCGTGATATTGCCAAGCTTCTTCTTGCCACTCTTCATTGAGAATTGTCAAAGGTACTGGTAATCTTAATTCATTTATATTCTTCTCAAAATAAGGTGTTGAACCTACATTACTATCTGTATTAGTTGAGGCACCTTCTCTGAACGTGAAACCATTCTCTACTCTCGCCTCTTTCACTACCTCATGAGACTTAGACGGATTAATCTTCGTATTGTTGGGTGGTTTCAATTTATCTTCATCAATAATGATAGTTTCTTTTTGCCGAGTAGGTTTTTCACTGATGGACTTTATCAAAGGTAAATTTTTCATTTGTTCATGAATTCTAAACAGGAACGCAGCTTCTTCTTTTTGTCCAGCTAGTACCGCTTCGGTCGCTTTTTGCATTGTCATATCTAGGTCTTTCATTTGCTGAGTTATTACAATTGACGGAGTTAAAGGGTTGCCTAAATTGTTTTCAGGATTAATTATTAGGAGTTAGTATTTTAATGGTTTAAAAAACTTGTCTCTGATATTGAGTTAAAAGGTATTTACCTGGAGCGTCCTCTTGCGGTGCGCTACTCAATAATTTTTTGTATGAATCATCAATTTTGATTCTTGATTTTCCTTTTTCAACTCGTTTCTCCTTGGATATTCAATCTCTTGATGATGACGGTATTTCCGTTTGAATTTGATTATTAGAAGTTTGACCTTTACGAAGGATAGATTAGTTAGTATGATATTATTTAAAGCTTGAAATTGTTGGTAAGATCTACTTACTTGTTGATTCTTTTTCACTTGTACTCTCTTGTGTGAATCCACCTTGTTGATTATTTTTGGTATTGACCGAATCAACTGACATAGAATTTGGTTCTTTCGTTTTGGCATTGGCCTGTACTTCAGAACTGGTCTCCTTGGTGTTTAAATTGCTTTCGTTAGTGGCATTTGCCGTGTTTTTGGTCGTTAATAAATTCACCACTTCTTGGCCTTCCTTGCTAGACGGGTTCTTTCTTTTTGACATATTTTTAATAAAAATTGTTAGAAATAATTTAATGACTAATTTAAAGTAAAACAATGAATTAAATGCTAAGATTAATTATATAAGAATGATAATCAAATTTTTAGAGAGTTATTTCTTTTTATTTAAGTTTCAATATGACTATGTGTCTTTTTAGATAGAGTTTTAATATGACTATATGTCTTGTTAGATAGTACTACACAAAAAACCGAGTCTTCGATGACTTGGTTTAAACGAAAGATGCGCTAGAGGGAAGAAAAAGGGGGAAAGGATGGATTACCGAGAGCAACAAGGGAAAAGAGACGAAACAGAAAAGGTGGGAGGAAGAAGACAGTGAGAGAGACACTGGTCTTTTGACTTCGACTTCCACCTTGAGAGATCATCTGATCTCACCGTCTATTTTCCCAAAGCTGAGATAGAGACCTTCAGCAGGGATTGGCCCTGACTGATTGGTCATCAGACGCGGTCAGGCTGGCATGAAGTTCTCGTGTCTCAGACGCGCGGTAGGTCGACCCGCTAGTCCATGGACCCGGGCAACCTACCTCGTTCCTCATCCGGGTGCCAATCCATGATTATGGTATTGATGCCCTCCTTTGATTAAATGGGTATGTAAGATGGGAAAGGACAAACCGGTCAGACAGTCCATCATTGGATCCTTGAATGCAGGTCCTGTTGGGGCTTTTCAAGAATCAGAGAGGAAGGTGATGCAGTTTTGAGCAGAGAGTGAAAGTGAAATAGAAGCAGATGGAAATGCAGAATTGGCAGAGATGTCATATAGTGGGAGGGGTGATGAGGGAAACAAAAAGGAGTGATCATAGAGATTGATGTAATTAAATAGGCAGATGTCATCAAGTGGTGAGATGATGAGCAATCACAAGCGTGATCAGATTTGAAGGAGGAACACAGGTTGAGAAGAGCAATGCAGATGCGGGGAACAAAAGACCAAACAGGAAAAAAACAAGACAGGAAATTGTACATTTCAAACATGTCAGCTAGGAACAATTTGCTTAGCCCAGGCTGTGGTGGGAAATACTGACCTTCTTGTGGGCTACTCATGCTTAAAGATGGATGTTGAATAGGAGATGACTGGGCAGGGGAGCTTTGCATGTGATTGAAAGATGACTTGAGGGGAAGAAAGTTCCTGGATGACTCAGCCAGAGTGAGACAGTTTATATATCATAAATCCCCTTTGTTCCAAAAAATAAAATAAAAACACAAAGGGAAGTGGGAGATCAAAGGGATGCAGTTGTACCACCACACCCACCCAGTAAGGAGGGGTTTCCTCAACTTGGAAATTTTGAGGTACAGGCATACTAGGCAAACACAAAGAGGAGCTCTAGATGGAATTTTGAGCCCATGAATCATCAAAAATTATATTCAAGGTGAATAAAAAAGTCATTGTTTTCATCACATTACACTTGTCTCCTTGTCTCTCTTTTTTGGTTAATCAATACTCACTTTTCCAAGATGATGTTGTTAAGATATCCTATCTTGGTAATTGTCAAAAGCCATTACCACATTGAGTTGTGGCTTTACCGGATTGGGATGGCAAAGGCATGTAGCAAGGGGTGATTGTGTATTGAGTCAAGGGATGGAATAATTTTTCTGGTGTCTCTACTAATTTTCTCTTTCTCCCACTTTCTGATTTCTTTTCTTCATCAAAAAGAATCAGTAAGTTAAATTTCACTCCTAAAATTCTGCTTCCCAAATATGTGTTATGTTTTTCTCAAATCACTAACTACTTTTCATTTATCTTTTAACTCGTGATTGGTTATCTCAGTAAATCATGCCACTGTCTGTTCTTTAACTCAATCACCTCCTCATGCTCTCTTTTACTTTGAGCTCACAGGTATTTAGTTTTCTCTACTGTTCACATCTAGACATCTCTTTTGTTAATGTTTTCCTTGTTGTATGTGTTGCTGAACGTGTGTAGGTCAGTACTGTCCTTGTTGTTTGACAAGCTCTGAAGCTTTAGTCTAACACATTATCCTGTGCCCTCAAGTGTGTCATCAAAAAGAATCATAAATCATTTTACTGTCTGTTCTTTAACTCAATCACCTCCTTGTGCTCTCTTTTACTTTGAGCTCACAGGTCAGTAGTGTCCTTGTCGTTTGACGAGCTCTGAAGCTTTAGTCTAACATGTTATCCTGTGCCCTCAGGTTTCCTTTAATCCTAGAGCTTCAACAATGTAGTTCCTTTGCGAACATAGCTGATACGAGGCCAAGAGTGATTCATTTGAATCTTTATAAATGTTACAAGAACCCTTTACAAAGCCATATCTCATGGGTGGAAGGGTCTGCAACTGGCCAAATGCCCTTCAACCCGCAAAGAAACCCCATGGTTCCGGTACTTTTTTGATGGGGAGGGTCTGCATCTGGCCTGATGCAAATCCTCAAGCCTGTACAAACCCATACCTGAGCTGTACAAATCCATGTCACAAGGTTTGCATCAGGCCGGATGCAAGCCCTGATCCCGTGAAAAAAACCCGCAACGCCGGGATCTTTCTGACAGGGAGGGTCTGCATCTAGCAAGATGCAAACCCTAAAGCCTGTACAAAGCCATATCTTATGGGTGGAAGGGTCTGCAACTGGCCAAATGCAACCCCTTCAACCCGCAAAAAAAACCCACGGCGCCGGTACTTTTCTGCCGGGGAGGGTCTGCATCTGGGCATATGCAAACCCTCAAGCCTGCACAGACCCATACCTGAGCTGTACAAACCCTTGTCTGACGGTTTGCACCAGGCCAGGTGCAACTAGATGCAAACCCATCATTTATGGGTTGGAGGGTCTGCAACTGGCCAGATTCAGACCCTCCCCGTCAGGAAAGTACCAGAAAAGTCCCAAACCACAGGACATTTCTGACGGGGAGGGTCTTCATCTGACTATTTGCAGCCCCTCCGACCTGTCCAAACCCATCATTTATGGGTGGGAGGCTCTGCACTGGCCAGATGCAGACCCTCCCCATCTAGAAAGTACCGTAAAATTACCATCACCGCGGGGTTTTTCTCACGAGGAGGGTCTGCATCTGGCCAGATGCAAACCCTGAAGCCCGTAAAAACCCATACTTGAGCTTGACAAACCCTGATACCGTGAAAAAACCCGCAGTGTCGGTACTTTTATGACGGGCAGGGTCTTCAACTGGCCAGCTGCAGACCCTCAAGCTTGTACAAATCCATATCTGATGGCTTTAACATCACAACCATATAGGTTTATACAGGCCTGAGGGTTTGCATCTGGCCAGTTGCAAACCCTTCAGCCTGCATAAACCCATCAAATATGGGTTTTTACCATTTGTAGATTTATACAGGTCTGAGGGTCTGCATCTGGCCAGATGCAAACCCTCCAGCCTGCATAAACCCATATTTGGTGAATATGGGTTCTCACTGAATCAAAGGTTTGCATCTGGCCAGATGCAAACCCTCAAGACTGTTTAAAGCCATATTGTCAGAACCCCATACCCGACATACATGTGTATACAGTCAGCAAGTCCTCACGTGACCGGTCCGGGACCGGCAAGGACCCAAGATACTCGTGGGATCTCATATAAAGCCGAGTGCCATGAAACATGTTTGACAATCTCATTCTCTCACTCAACCACCCTGATCCCCCACGGTGCTGTGGCCACTTCAATGTTGCAACTCAAGCTCTCCTCCGGTTTGAGCCATCGACAGGTGTATCCCATGTGTAAGTTCATTCAAATCCTCAACCACACATCTTAACTTTCTCTACTAACTGTTTTACTGCTTTGTCTTCCTTTGCCAGTATACCTTTCAAAAAAACTCACTCTGTTCAGATCAATCAATATCCCAGGTCCTCATTTAGGAGTTTCTCGCATGCCGGTTCCCGTCGGCGATCTGAATCACCACTCCGGTCCAATCAAAAGATATCCTAGTAAATATCCTAGTAAGTCATTGCTGCTCTGCATTCTGTCCTTCATGTCTATCATTTCATTCTTCTTTACTTCATTCATACCTGACTGATCATTGTTTCTGGTTATTGGCACTGCTCACCGTGTTTTTCAGTTTATCTTCTCATTTATTTCCCAATCTTCAGAAGTTCATTATTGGAACTTTTGATTAAACACTCGAGTGATCTCCCTTCCCTCTCATCGCAAACTTCCCCCCTGCATTGATTCTTGTCTTTACTGGTTGTTGTACTGATGATCAATTCTCTTTTCAGGTTTTGGGTTTTTCCTTCCTTGCTCACACAGCTCATTTCATTTATTCGATTGTCATCTGTATCTCCCCATCAATACATAACTTCAAGCTTCTATTCACGTGAAGGTTTTTTGTTATCATGTCTGTCGTAACGTTAGCCCCCACTTCCAAAACAGAGGCCAGCTCAAATGTGAATCAGAATGAACCCAGCTCAGGGACCATGAAGAGATCAACCGTTGTTTGGGGCCTTGCCAGCCTTCTAGAACACCAAACCAAACACCAAACAGTGAGTATTCTTCCCTCCAACACCCTCAAGTCAATCATTTCTGACCTGGTTCTACTTTATGTCCTTTGCAGATACTATTCAACTGCCTTACCACCAACCCACTCCTGCCCTGCACCACACTCAAACTGACATACTAAAGGGGGACGCATCATTTTGGACCCAGACAAGCACGAAACCACCCTAGCTCAACAGCTACAATGGCTCACTGCTCAACTTGGACAGCTGTTGACGCTCAACCGGTTTAAGTCATTTCAAGCGGCTGGCAATCGTGTTGAACAGCAACTGTTTGGTGAGACAAGCCTCCATTCTGTGCTGTTGTGGTCAACAATTCTAACTTGTTGTTTGATTTGCTCAGCCCTTAGAAATGGAACCTTCCTCAATGATCCCAATTCCTTGGTACAGGTCAATCTTGACAATCAGCAAGGCAGAAGTAATGCAAACAGGCCAGCTTCTCCTGGGGTCAACACATCACGGAAGATGTGTCGCACTCACTCTTTGGCTGGGCCACCGATCAACACACGTATTGCTTCTGGATCCCAGACTCCGATGCCTTGTCCCAAACTACCTCGCCAAGCCAAAAAACAAGGCAAAATCTCAAGGGTTTCTTTGCAAACCAATGACCTCCCCAAAATATATATCCCACCTCCTGTTTACACTGCCACCACCAAGAGTAATGAGAGAAACATGGAGAAGCTTTTCAAAACTGTCTCAGATGAAGTCATCGAATATTCTCGCGTGCCCTCGCCTCTCCCGACCATGCAAGAGGACCCGTCTGATCAGTTTTACGCTTTCTTCAGCACCCCTTTTGTTTTGCCTCCCCTGGACCAGCCACTCGACTCCCCCCTTTTGGAATATGTCAAGGAAGCTTGGGATGAAGCCCTACCACTTGAAACGCTCCACAAGCTCAACCGTACTGGGCTGATCAACACCTACATGCTTTTTTTCTCTTGGTATGCCGGCGTTTGACAGGAGCCTTGATGGCTACCCTCTGACATGTTTAATATGATGGACAGGCTTGAGGGGATGTATGATTTACTCAAGGAAGCTGCAGTCCCCTTGGGGTGGGTTCCCCCTGCCCCAAGTCCCTCTGGTTCTGGTTCTGCCCAACCCACCACAAGTGTCACCCCTGGCCCTCTCACTACAAGCAACAATGAAGCCTCCGTGGAGTCAATTGTTGACCAGCTACTTGGCCCACACATCAAAGAGCAACCTCTGCCTTTGAAGGCTTTGCTGATAACTCTTGAATGTGTGGTTTCTGATATTGAGGTGCTAGGTTTGGAGGAGTCAAGTGTTCCTGTTGGGGACCCTGACCCTTTATTTCACAGTTTTTTTTTACTGCCCTTTCAATCTTCCAAGCCCGATCAGGACTTCTTAGGATCCGCTAGAAGCATACCTCAACGCCTGTATTGGTGCTGACACAATGGCCCATACCCTCCGTCAAGGACAGTCCGGAATGGACAGCCTCATCTGTCAATGGGTGGTCATTTCGCAAGATGTACGAGGTTGGGATGTGGCATGCAATTTTGGTGCCAGTGCCAAGCTACGAGACGTTGTGTTTTATCTCAGAAAATCGATAAATTCACTTCCCCCCCTGCCACCAATCCTACCACCTTGAGCTACAACATCCTTGACAAATCCCATGCCTTCGATGACAGTCACGCCAGTTTGCACATTCACTCCAGAATCCATACTCACCTCAATGCCAACGCATCCTCAGAGGGTCCCTGCTCCTGCTTTGGAAAGTGTCCCAACTACTCCCCTACTCTTTCACAAGTCCCCCACACCTCCTTTGTTGGACAAACACAAGCAAGCACCCCCTGCCAACAAGCCTCTCTCCAAAGCTCTCACAAAAGTACTTTCTGATACTTGGTCTATACATCTGGAGAACTCAACACTGCCCGTTGGAGAGGATGGAGGTGATTTCCATGAGATCTTCAAGAATCTGTATTACCCATCTGATCCAGACAAGGATTTTTGGGAGCAACTCAATGGCTATCTCAATGTTTGAATTGGTAGAGATGTCTTGCCTCAGGTCCTTTGCCAAGGACGCTACGGAATCGACGGCCTAATTGTGCCATGGCTTGTTTCTTCTTGAGCTCATGTTGGCTGGGGTGAAGATAGCGACAATGGTGTCGCTGCCAAACACTAGGTATTGTCACCCTTTGGAAGGACTTGATACCTCCTCAAGAACCAAGGGGAATCTCAAGCCCACCTCAAGAATCCAACCCATCTTCACGTTCTCCTACTCTGATTCCTCCCAAGCGGGCACAAGCTCCCAACCCTTCTTGCACGGAACCTCCCAAGAGAAGCATGTTGTAGTAAAAGACATTTCAGTGGTAAAGTACATCACAAAGCTTACTGGATCAGAAGGTACAGGTAGTTGTGTAGGAGGTATGGTATTTTACTCCAAGAAGTTCACAGTTTATGAAGGAGTAGTTCTGGTAGTGTTTCAGGTTTTTAGTGGCTGGTCGAGTTTGAATAGAAATCCCAAAGAAGGTAGTTCTCATACCTCACATTTAGAATCATGTTGAGAACTTTTCCTAATCCGTATCTTTTCTATTACTTTACCCAAGAGTGTGTTTTGTATTCCTCTTTGAGATTAGTTTGATAAAAATTATGTAGCCAGGCTTTCCTCTTATACCCTGTCTCTCTTGAGCTCCAGTGTCCTCCCCCATCATGTGGAAACTGAAGCTTGAGAGTAAGTCCTTTTTCCTCTACTATTATTGTGTGTGATTTGTTTGGGCTATACTCATCCTCTACGACAGACCTTCCTCCCACTGTTATATCATCCTGCCTTCCGCAGGTAAGGCGTCAAATCATCTGCCCAATCTTTTCTACCTTACGAGTTCACTTAGAACTCTATGTACCTGTTCTGTCAAGGTGATTACTTATTCCTTACTTTTATCTCATACTAGTTCTCTTTTCTCTATTGCTTGATGTGTGTGAATGAACAACATTGTGTGGAAACTGAAGCTTGAGAACCTTCCTCCCACTGCCGTATCATCCTGCCTTCCGCAGGTAAGGCGTCGAATCTTCCGCCCAATCTTTTCTACCTTATGAGTTCACTTAGAACTCTATGTACCTGTTCTGTCCAGGTAAGGCATCAAATCTTCCGCCCAATCTTTTCTACCTTACGAGTTCACTTAGAACTCTCTGTACCTGTTCTGTCCAGGTACCATTATTCATCTGCGTTGACAATCAGTCCGCAAGAACTCATTTCAAAGCAAGCGTGCCTCATGCTCCGGAAACTCGTCATCCAGAGACTTACCTCCACCTCCCTCACCAGCAGCCACCACCTCAGCTCCAGGATCACCTCAAGGTAAAAAAATTTCACTGTTAACGCAGATATCAGGTCAACGCCCAAGGCCCCTGCACAAACTCAGATTGTTGATCCCTCCGTGGCTCCGGGAACACCTCGAGGTGGATCTCCTACTGATGTTGCGGCTGCCAGCGCGAAATCACCACCTGCTCCAGCTTCACCTTGACCTCCTCTCATTGAGATCACCAATCCTCCCTTGGCTCCAGGATCACCTTGAGGTGAATCTCCTATCACAACAACTAATGTAGTCACACCAGTGATGAAGTCAACTGAAATCAAGAACTTGGTGAATCTCCTATCACAACAACTGATGTGGTCACACCAGTGATGAAGTCAACTGAAATCAAGAACCCACCAGCTGCTCCAGCTTCACATCAACCTCCTATCATCAAGATCACCAATCCCCCGTTGGCTCCAGGATTACAAGGTGAATCTCCCATCAGAACGACTGATGTTGTCACACCAGTGATGAAGTTGACTGAAATCAAGAACCCACCACCAGCTCCAGCTTCACCTCGACCTCCTATCATCAAGATCACCAATCCCTCCTTGGCTCCAGGATCACAAGGTGAATCTCCCATCACATCCACTGATGTTGTCATGCCGGTGACCAAGTTGGCTGAAATTACAAAATCACCCCCTGCTCCAGCTTCACCTGGAGGTCAACCTCCCATTGCCTCATCTGCCACTGCTTCAGGACTCCCTCAAGGTCAACCTCCTATTAATTCTACCTCTGGCACAGGATCACCACAAGATCAATCACAAGTTTGGTCCTGATGTCAATGTCATGGTGGTTACTGAGCTGGGTGTGGCACCAGAAGTTATGACTGCTGGCTCTTCAATCATCATGTCTGAAGTCTCCAAGACTTACCCCAAACCCACCTCACCAACTCCACCTCACAATCTCTGGATGGTGTCCAACTCACCTTTGTTTGACCTCACAGCCACCTTGCTTCAATTCAACCAAATTGCTGTAGATGATGTCCCCCGGGTCTACAGATCTATGATCAGCCTGCTTCTGCACCAACATCAGGGCCAGGAGCTGCCTTCACAGCCCCCTCTTCACACAACTGAAGAACATTTCACACCCAAACCAAATCTTTGAGTGGGTGACTGGTTTAGTCATAAACCTAGTGAGCACTGTACCTTATCACATTTCCTCTTTTCTGTTTCCTCAATCTGACGCTTGTTTTGCCTAGATATGTTCCTGCTCTTCAGAAATGGCAAAGCGCTGCGGAATTGAGAAGATATCTTCAATCTCACAATGCCTGACCGTGGACTGCCCCATCAAACAACTGATGAACCGGTCTCTACACGTGTTGTTTGGGAGATTCTTGGCCTTGTCTATAATCCTGGTCTCAGGCTTGTACAGCAAGGCGTGCAAACCGTCTGTGCTGCCACAGTTTATGCATCAAGGGATACATCCAATGTTTCAGCTTCTTATGCTGCTCCGGAAATCGGCTTTGCCAACAAATCTGTTCAACACAGTCTTGAAGCTGCCCATCTTTTCCAACACCTTCAAGAAGATGGCAGCCAAATGAAATCCATTGCTGAGTGTGTAACTGCCATGTCTCACATGCTGAATAGACTATACACCCTTTTTGAGGCAATTGCCAGCCTCAGAGCCAGATTTCACCATGCTCTCCACATCAATATATCACCTGAAGACTCACAAGATCAACTGGTTTCAGACATTGAGGAGCTCACTGACTCCTTAGGCACTGGCTCCATTCCACTGGAGTTGATTGGTCCACTGGTTACTTTCCTTGTTGGCGGGGTCAAGGGCCTCATGGTTTACCCAACTGACAAGGGGAGATATCGTATTGTGAAGCTCACCCACTTCATGGTCCTAATTGATGAGATACATGGGGAGAGAAAGATTGAGGAACCAATCTGGAAGTATACTCAAAAGTATATACTAGACACAATTGAAGACATCTTTTTTCCTTGAGGTTTTTTATCGACTATCTCGAAGATTTAACGAGAATTATCGATTATCTCTAAGATTTAGATTCTTCTCTAGAATAGATCTCTCAAATATAAATGGTACGGAGTAATCAAAGAGGTTAGTTGGAAACCTCAGCAAATTCCTAAAATGCAGCTTGCCAAAGCCATCGAGGTTGACTTTTACAACTTTTGTGTCAATAGGGCTAACATGCTTTTGAATTACCTGACATTGCTGCTGCTAAGGATTCAGCTCAGACCTCTAATAAAAAGAGAAGGAAAAAGAAGAATGTGAATGTGAATGTAGAATGATGCTGTGATGCTTAAACAGGTAACATGTAACTGATGTTATGATTTCAAAACATAATGTAATTGATGTTGTAATGGCTTGATCAATTTTGATGATATGTGAACCTGTTTTTCTTTCTAATCCTGAAGTCCATTTTGTCTAGCTGGGCTTGTTCATTTACAACTGTCTTGTACTATGTGTTCTATGGATAGCTTGATTGATTTTGATGATATTTGACCCCCTTTTTTTTGTAACTGGAGTTCGTTTGGTTTACCTGGGCCCACTGATTTCCAATTGTCTTGTCCTATGTGTTTTAAGCTCTTATATATCCTTGTTGAAATTTGATTTACAGGAGTGCTGTTCCATAATGGGATTGTGAGGCCTGCTGGCCTTGTTCTGACCCCCAAGTTTCACTGCGACTTTCATGAGAACACTGAATTTCTCCACGGATTTCTCCATATTGGTTCATTTGACTCATTTTGAGAACTCCTTTTCTTTATATGGGTTATTGCAGACACAGTACAGGATTGAATCAAGACAAGATCTTGGATATCTCTATTTTACAATCTAGTTCCTTGACAATGTAGATATCAACCTGTATGAATGTGTTATATACCTTGTGTTGAGCCCCTTATTCGGCTTTCACTTTGAAAGAAAGCAGTTTTTTGTTTTTTACCTTGAAAGAAAGCAAGTTTTTGGCTTTTACCTTGAAATCAATTCTTGACATATCGTATTGGCCCGTATCACTTGAACAATGCAATATGTGCTGCCAAGATCTTCCTGTCTCTTTGCTGTGCCAGGCATTGGTTGAAATATGTTATTTTCCTGACACAATGCGGATAACATCCAGTGGGTTGTATCTTGTGGGATAGTATGGCTCCGTTGAAATATGGGTTTGTGGAGGTTGACACATGTGAAGCTACATGTAGTGCAGGGTTTTGCAACCCTAACCTCATCACATTTTTGACATTATGACTACCAAGGCTCAAAGTTTTCAATTCTCTTAAGTTTCACAATATCTGCCTCTCAAAGTTTCAATGTCCTTTCAGCCCACCTTCTATACTGGTTATACAACCCACATATCTTGGCAGGATCTTTCCTATGGGTATAACATTGGGACCCCATGCCACTGCTTTGGACCGCAACCAGGTCCTCTGCAGTTGTCCAGAATTGGGATGCAATCAAAAGACAATCCAATACAGAGGATTGGTACATCAAGGCAAAATA